GCTAACATAAATTTGATAGGATTGATGAAAATGTTCTGTTTTTACTGCAATAATTTGAATGATTATCATGAGATTTTGTGATAGTGGATATCATTTTATTCAGTAACATTTCAGTTGAGCAAACATGTATTGTGTTTTTAGACAATGCATATTTGTCTTTGATTATGGTTCCATGTAAATAAACAAAACCTAATATGTTTCTTCAACTAAGAAGCTGATGCCTTATTCTTGAAAACCTATGATATATAAATTTAAGAATGATTGCCTTATGACATCATAAAGTTTGGACAATTTTTTCAAATATATATGAAGGGTAGGTTTAATGAGTTTTTCAGTGAAAAGATGTCAACACCTTCTAGAGGTATGTTACATAATTTTCATTCAACTTTGTTACGTGTGAAGTAGTTTGGTAGGGAAATAAAATTTCACCTGTATTTTTAATGAGATTTTTTCTTATGACACAGTAATTGTGGGTCTAAAACCTCAGAAAATTGTTTGGTATAGACTGATAATAAACCAAAACCCTGTGTCCTGAACATTCAAAAATCCCTGTATAGTAAGAAATTCTAAATGGATACGCCAATATTGTACACTGAATTGCAAATGTATTTATGTATTTAGAATTTATAAAGTAAACAGAAAGTAAATGAGACAACTTTCAAGATCAATCAGATTTCTTTTGTATAAACTATGTAGGTATATAATGTGTTTTAGAAATTAGATAAATGGTTTGTGAGGCACCTGTCTTTAAAGGGACAGATTCCAAATTTTTGGGGTTTGATTTGGGTCTTGAATTCATGTAAATAATCTTCAGGTGTACTAGAAGTGTTCGAAAATCACACAATTCCTTCAAAAATACCACAAACTAGGAATTTTACTTTCGATTTCTATTTCTTTTCTATATATATCAGAGTATCAAGAAAAGAAGAGTCGTCTTTCTAACTTTCAAACAATAATAATTCTGGACACACATGGATTTGAAGACTGAAATTTTGACATTGAGCTGTGAACACTATAACTGATTAGCTAAGGTACGAAAACTTCTCTTTCTGAGACTAAAGTAAATTTGGTCCAAAAGAAGGCGAATCTGTCCCTTTAAGTTAGACTGTTATCTTATTGTGGTAAGTTTATTAAAGGATTTTTCAACGTTTTCAAAGGAAACAATTTCTGTGCATATACAAAGATATCTTTGAAATATTATACACAAAGTTTAAAAAGGACCTTTTCAGAGTTCATAGAATTTTTATTGATTTTCTACACTAAAAGTAAATAAACTGAATAGTGAAACAAATTCAAACAGGTTTATCTTTCCTTTGAAACCAAAGAAATTATGTAAACTGTTGCATTTGATACATAAAATCAATCGTAAAAAAGAAATTCTTGTGGTTTTATGTATGTATGTTTTCACAATATTTGGTCTATATTTGAATTTTTTATACTTGTGCTTTCACAGAGTATGAATAGCTTGCCTTAAAAAAATTGTGAGAACAAAGTTGCCAGAATGATATAGACCTTGACTTATGGATTGTGATTTAGATAGGTACATGTCAGTTTTCTTCTTGTGATTTAGACCTTGACTTATTGATAATAACTTTTTAATTGTGATCTTGATTATAATTTTTTAATTGCGGTCTTGATATCAGTTTCTAATTGTGGTCTTGACATAACTCTGTAATTGTGGTCTTGATATAAGTTTCTAATTGTGGTCTTGATATAAGTTTCTAATTGTCGTCTTGATATAAGTTTCTAATTGTCGTCTTGATATAATTCTCTAATTGTGGTCTTGATATAAGTCTCTAATTGTGGTCTTAATATAATTCTCTAATTGTGGTCTTGATATAATTTTCTAATTGTGGTCTTGATAAAAGTTTCTAATTGTGGTCTTGATATAAGTTTCTAATTGTGGTCTTGATATAAGGTTCTAATTGTGGTCTTGATATAAGTTTCTAATTGTGGTCTTGATATAACTCTCTAATTGTCGTCTTGATATAAGTTTCTAATTGTCGTCTTGATATAACTCTGTAATTGTGGTCTTGATATAAGTATCTAATTGTGGTCTTGATATAAGTTTCTAATTGTGGTCTTGATATAATTTTCTAATTGTGGTCTTGATAAAAGTTTCTAATTGTGGTCTTATGTAAGTTTCTAATTGTGGTCTTAATATAAGTTTCTAATTGTGGTCTTAATATAAGTTTCTAATTGATATAACTCTCTAATTGTGGTCTTGATATAAGTTTCTAATTGTGGTCTTAATATAAGTTTCTAATTGTGATCTTGACATAACTCTCTAATTGTGGTCTTAATATAAGTTTGTAATTGTGGTCTTGACATAACTCTCTAATTGTGGTCTTAATATAAGTTTCTAATTGTGGTCTTGATATAAGTCTCTAATTGTGGTCTTGATATAAGTGTATTAGAAGGGATTGTTGGATAATGGTGTTAAAGATTCAGTCTTGAACAAGTTTTGTTTTAAAATTTAAAGGAACATTGTGACCTGCATTGCTTTATTTATGATAAGAGTCAACCTGACTGGCAATTTCAATTAATCAAAAACTCCAGTTAAAAATTAGAATAAAAAGAAAATACACCAAATTTAAAAAAGTTGTTTTAAAAGGGACAAGATGACATGCACTGGTTGAAGTAAGATAAGAGTCTAGTGGTGACAGGTAGAATATATAAAGTGATGTATATTATCATAGTAGGTAGATAGATATTAAAGTGGCAATGTGGACAATTTATATAACTTATTTTGATATGTGTTTGTCACAGACGGTCTCCAATAGAGTTAAAACTGAAAATTTAGTGAAAGAATTCTCAGTATGAACAATAATTGAAAGATCTGTGGATAAATATTAAATTGGCAGTGTGGATGATTTATATTTTATATTTTGATATGTTTGCATCATTGTCTCATAATATATAAAACTGAATGTTCATGGGGAAAAATTCACAATCTAACAAAAATTGATAAATCTATGTACATGAGGAAAAAGAATGCTAACCGACACAATCAGTTTAAAGATGGGACATACCCCCCCCCCCCCCCCTTTAAGACATATTTATTTTGCTATGTACATTAAAACTTTTGATTGACAAGCTTTTCAGAGAACATCATGTATGCAGTCTAATTGTGTTTAATTTATTCGATTTTCTTTAGTTCTCCTTGCTGTAGGGTAGGATATAGATCGTTAGTTTACTCTTTCCTGTTTTGGGGTAAGGTATAGGTTTATCTAGATTGTTATTCTATCATATAGAGGGCTTATCTAGATTGTCCTTTAATATTTATAGGGTAGGATATAGGTTTATCTAGAATGTTATTTTATCTTTATAGGGTATAGATTTATCTAGATTGTTGTTCGGTATGGTATAGGTTTATTTAGATTGTTGTAGCATATGATATAGGTATATCTAGATTGCTGTAGGGTATGGTATAGGTATATCTAGATTGTTGTAGGGTATGATATAGGTGTATTTAGAAGATTGTTGTGGGGTATAATATACATGTATCTAGATTGTTGTAGGGTATGATATACATGTATCTAGATTGTTGTAGGGTATGGTATAGGTGTATCTAGATTGTTGTGGG